TTGTTCAGCAGCTTCTCTAAGTATTCAGGGTCATTTGAAAATTTTATGCTTGCAATTGACAAAAAAAAAAAAAAAAGTAAAATAACAAAAAGTCCGGGGTGTTTGTGTTGGAGATCTCTGTTGCAAATTGCTTCAAATTTTTTGCATATGTATATGTAAACATCTTTGGGATGATTCTTATTGTAGAATTAATGTAAAAAATTGTTGATTCTGTTCTCTCTTCCCCATCTTCTGCTACTTAAACAAAAAAACAGTTGTCAAACATTTTAATCAGGTCTGTCTAAATTGCAGGCATTCAGGGGTTAACATTAGGGCTCAGACTAGAAAAAAAAAAAAGGCCCTTTAAAGCTCAGGTCACAACTCAGCAGGGCTTTGGGGATTTGGGTATTTTTTTTAAAAATGACCTTAGCCAGTTTCATTCTGTCGTAAATAAATTTGGGTTTTAATTCTATTTTATAATACATAGGTCTATTAACAAGTGGACTTTCTATAAATTGTTTTTATACAAAAAAAATTTTAATTGCTTTCTTTTTGGTTTTTTTTAATACAAAAATAAGGCTCTAATTTAAATGTCCATAGCAATAAGTCTGTCTTAAAAATATTGTTCTGTTCTTGGTAACATTTACAAACAAACTAACTTAAAAAAAAAGGTTTTTGTTTTGTCGAGATAACTGTCAGGGATTGTTGGTGCTATAGATTTGTAAAAGAATTTATAAAGACAAACATTTAAAAAAATAAAATTTATGAAAACACATTGAGACAATAAACAGCTGCACACAGGGAGTTGCTGCTATACTGACATAAGGGTTGAGACAAATTTATTTATGTAAAACAAAGTGAAAATAAAACAAAAGTACACTTTCTGGATGGGATAATAAAAACACTGAAAAAAAAACCCCTCTACACCAGAGGGTTTTTTGGGAGGTACTGGAATTTGAACTCAGGGCCTTGTGCTTGCTGGGCAGGTGCTCTACCACTTGAGCCACCCCTCCAACACTGTACTGGAGGTTTTAAGACTTCCATAAATCCTACAAAACTAAAAATGGTTAATCCTAAAAAACCAGGATTGTGTGTCATTAACTCTCTGATGCTGGGCTCTGCATCAACTCCCCACATGACAGGCAAAAAAAAAATTTTGACCTTGGATGGCCAGTTTGGGCCTGTTATTTTGGGGGGCTTCATTGACTATAGGTCATCAGGACCCTGCTGTATGTCATGAGCCATCTGTTAATGTCAACAATCTGGGATGTGATCCGTTATCAACATCTAAACCATGGTTCTCAGACATCAGGTTTCCAAACTCCACGCTTAGTCTTCATAAATATTTACTTGTGTTCTCTGTTGATTTTTGCCAAGGTTTTGACTACTAAAAAAAACCTGTTATAACTAAATAAAAATTTAAAAGGCTATTTATGTCAGGTCTTCTAGATGACCTCATAATTGTGGTTGAATAACTGTTGTCTTGGGTGATTCCAATGCAGCTAATGTCCTATGTATGTCTGTGACTAGGCTGAAACTGGAGCACTGGGGAGGTTTCTCATCCTGAGAAATCTGCATATGGATGAATTCAGGGGTTCAGAGGTAACAAGACTATCTCTCCATCTCCTGGCCCTGCTAACCTCTCCCTGGATTCATTCTCGGACTCTGCTCCCCTCATCATGGCAGCAAAATGGTTGCCATTCAACCTATGCCATTCTTATAGCTCATGATCACATGATAGTGTAGACCCTCTTCTCAGCAACCATTCAGCACATCTCATTGATGGGCCCTGATTGGCTTTACTGAGCTCACATCTTTTTCCCTGATGGCCAAATTGGCTAGACCTGGTGTTGGAGGAAAGAGTCATCTCTTCAAACCATGTGGAATGAGTTTCCCCACACAAAGGAGGTGTTCTACTTTCAGAAGAAGAGGAAAGAGATGCTAGGAAGGAAAACAACAGAAATAATGACAGTTTTCCATAGTCACTCACTGTGCTTGGTATTAGGGACAGAGAATGTCCCTGTCCTTAGGGAGTTTGCATTCTAGTCATGGAGACACACAGCAAAATAAACAAGAAGATGAAATAATTACAAGTTATATTGAAGTAAGGATCTGAAATAGGAAAAATGGTGGGAACATTTTAAACTTAATGTGGACTTGAAAGAGTAGGTATATCTTGCTGAGTGGATGTTATTTAAGCTGAGCTCTTTAATCAAGAGCCCATCTGTGAAGAGTAGAGAGAAGTAGGCTATGGGTATGGGAACAGGTTAGGAAGAAACTGAAATGAGAAAGAGCTTGACACTTTAAAGAGAGAGGCTGAAATGTAGAGGACAAGAATGGAGCAGCCCAAAGTAGACTAGAGAAAGGCCATATTGTGGGATATCCTGCAGTGAAAAGCTTGGGGTTTTTTGTTTTGTTTTTCTAAACAGTTTGGAGTATCATGATTCAAGGAGGACAAACACAGAAGTTAGAAGACCAGTCAGGAAGCTTCTGGAGCTGATGGTGTCCTGAACTAGGATGGTGACCAGACATGGAAGGAAAAGGATGGATTAAAGACATACATTTAGAGAATTAACTGACTTTGCTGATACATTGGATGTGGGAAGGGGGGGGGGTCATAGAAAAGGAGAATCAAGATTGAATCCTAAATTTTTCTCAGGAAAGACAGTAGTCTTATGAGATTTATGAGGTTGGTATATAAATTCAGAGTGACAATATATAACTGTGCTGTGGACCAGAGTTCATTCTGTGGGATCATTGCTAATCTAGCCAAGTAGAAAGACTCCCTGGGAAGCTGAGTCATGTAAAAAAGTCGCCTGGTGAGCGTGGATGGATCTTTTGAGGTACAAAGGCACTAGGTCACATATTCATATCAAGACCACCTGAAGACGAGGATGTAACAGTTTCGGTCTGTTGGCTTAGGTCCTCTCCCCTCTTTTTTTTGGGGGGGGAGAGAAAAGGAGGGGATGAATCCAGGCCCTTCCACATCTATCACTAAGCCACACCCCAAGCCCTACACTCTGCAGGTTGGTCATAACAGCCTCTGTGATTCTCCTCTTGTACATCCATTGTTAAGAAAGCCCCTTTTCTGATACGTTTTTTGGATATTTATAGACCTTTCATTTAGTCATGGGCTAGTTTTACTGATTTAGGGGCCATCTTGCCTCTTTAAGGTGAATTACAAAACTTCTCTGATTGTTTACAGGTTGAGTTAAAAAAACTCTCTGAGGTAGCTTTATTTCTCCGTTTTCCAAAGTTTCAGGGGATACTTTTCTTTTGGCGGCACTTGGGTTTGAACTCAAGGTTTCATGCTTACTATGCAGGCTTTCTTACTGCTTGAGCCACTCTGCCAGCTAGGGGATACGTCTTAAACCTCTGTACAGTACTGCACATCTATTCTCAAAGTGAGTTTGATATGCTAGAATGAATCTCCTCGTTCTATTCCAAATAACATCTCCAATCCAAAATGCTTCTTTTAACTTTTCTTTGCATTGATAGACAAAGTATACTAAGGAGTACCCAGTAGTGTGCAAAAGGTGTATTTGGGTTTACCACACACTTGGAAAGATGTTTTATTCTTTTTGTTTTTTGCAGTGCTGGGGTTTTGAACTTGGAATCATTTTTTGCTAGGCAGCCACTTGAGCTACGCCACCAGACCATTTTTGTGTTGGATATTTTTGAGATAGGGTCTCTTGAACTATTTTGCCCAGGGCTGGCTTCGAACTGCAACCCTCCTGATCTCTGCCTCACAAGTAGCTAGGATTGGAGATGTAATCTACCACCACCAGGCCAGATGTTTTATTCCTTAACACCTTTAGCCCTTTCCTTTGAAAATAAACACATTACTGAAAGGCTACCACTTCTACTCTCCAACACCATCAAGGCCATAAAAATTACCTCAAGTGCTCCTCAGGGATTAAGAGAGGTCCAGTCAATTACATTTTAAAATCTCTTGGTATAATAAGGTGATAAGAGGGGTTGTGTCAAAAACAAGGGTTACAAAAATTGTGGTTTATTTGGTGGGACTGGTGTTTGAACTCAGGGCTTCGTGCTTGCAAAGCAGACAATCTACAACTCGAGTCACACCTCCAGTCCATTTTAGTCTGGTTATTTTGGAGAGGGAGGTCTAGCAGGCCCGAGCTGACCTGGAACCAGGATCCTCCTGATTTCATCCTCCTCATCAGCTTAGGGAGGCGTGAACCACCGGCGCCCATCTAAAATTGTGGTATATTCAAAAGATATCACAATGAACAAACTAATGCGCGCACACACAGAGCACACAGTTGTGCTATTCACAAGATAATTACAGGATTTATAAAAATGATTTTATAGCGCACTCCAGCGTGGGCCCTTTAAATGGGACAAAAGTTGCAGTTGAATATATACTTTTAAAAATCCTGTGCCTGTGTGTAGAACTTCATGTGAAGATTACGTAAAAAAATCTAACATTAATTCTCCTCCTGACTATGACATTGGGCCAAATGTCATAGTGATGTTACCCTCCCCCCACAACCCTCATTCCGATCGTTGTGCGTTTACTAGAAACTGATGGCTTCTTCGACCTCCCGTCCTTTCCAAGCCTTTGTTTTGAGCCTGTGCTCACGAACCTCTGAAACCTAACAGTGATCTGGCTCTGCTGAGTGGTACCAGAACTGCACTGGAGATGACGTGTTCTGCGACCGAGAGCACCTGACAAGGAATTCAGCCAGGATCCCGCCCTCTGTCTCGGAGGAAGATGCTCTCTGCAGGCTGAGCGCCCCGGCAGAGAGCTGCACGTCTCTATGGCAACCGGACAACACACAGCCAAGAGGCCCAGGGCGGGGCCGGGGCCGTGGGCGTGGCCACTCCGGATGGGGCGTGGCGATGGGATGTGGGCGGGGCTTGTTAGGCAGGGCGTGGAGTGAGGGCGTGGCTACTCGGGCTGCGTGGGGCGCGGGCGTCTCCCATCCCGGGCTACAGCTCAGACCTATCTACGCGTGGGCCAGGGTGAGCGCCGCGCGTGGCGGGAGCTTCGGACACCAATGGAGGACCAAGAATGTTCAGATTCATACGCGCCGTCGGAGATGACCCCGCGGCAGGACACCAGGGATATTTTCACTTGCTCTGAGCTCTTCCAGAAGCCCATTGTGATCAATCTACTCGAAGAGTTTAGGGAGAACGAGAATGCCGAGGAGGAGGAAGAGGAAGAAGAAGAGGAGGAAGAGGAAGAAGAAGAGGACGAACTGGAGGAGGAAGAAGTGGAGGAGGAGGAAGAGGACGAAGAGGAGGAGGAGGAGGCCGCCGAAGAGGATGAGGAGCAAGACCTGGAAGCAGAGTCAGACCTGGAAGCGGAGTTCGACGCGTTGCCTGAACTCCACAAGCCCGGCGAAGGCTTCGAGTCCCACGCATTCCACGAGGCCGGTGAACTCCACGAGCTCTATGAGCCCCGCGCATCCCACAAGCTCCAGGGGTCGCGTGTGCCCCACAAACTCCGCAAGGCCCGGGAGCCCCTCGAGCTCCACGAGGCAGATAAAGATGAGTTGCTTCCCAGCGCTACGTTGATAATATCCCCGTCCCTGGTCACCAGATGCCGGCCAAAGCTTCAGCTGTCTTGCCTGAGCGGTAGGTGTTGCCTCCATCTCCACGCACAGAAATCCCACCCATCTAGTCTGCGGTGAAAGTTGCATGTTTTAAAGAAACGTAACTCAGGGCATTTTACGTGCTGGTTTGCAGCCCTTTCTTTGCACTTCAAGGGACTCTTAGGGAAAATTGACATCCTGATAGTGACAGAAACTGTCTCCACTCCCTGCGCTGATACCTGATGACCCCCTCCCCCCTTGATTATCTGTTGTTTCCTCCTTTTTGAAGCCCTTCTTAATTCTCATCAGGTCGCTGCCTTCCTCTGGGTTGCACTTTGATCTCTGTGACTGCACTTAGTGTTTTGTATTACATCTTTTCTATTACTCAAAGGTGGGGACCTTTGAAGGCTGGGTATTTTTGTGAGTGTTCAGCACATGGTTCCACAGGGACATTCATGGAGCATGTATTCAAAGTGCATTTAAGTGCGCCCTATCTGCTCAGTCCTCACTGCGTTCAGTAGGTAACAGGGCTGATGGGACTTGGATGAAAACAATCCTTGCTCTGACCACATCAGCTCACTTATGACTCCTCACCTATGTATGACCTTCTTTGTCCACATTGGGCCTTCATTCCCTTGGCTGACTGATTTTTCTTACTGATTCCTCCCACCCAGTCTCAATTCTTTGGTTTATCATTGCAGTTACAGCCTTACCACCTCTTCCACTACTCCATTGGTTCTTGGACCAATACTTCTGAGAAAACCCCTGCTTTGGGTAAACCCAGCAATCCATCTACCCTTTCCTACACCTAGTAGTTGACTCTTGCTATACCAAATTGCACAAGAAGTACCAAGTGTTTTGTTTCAAGTTTGTTTCCACAAATCTCAATTGGTCATTTAGCACTTCCTAGCACACTCACTTTATTTGTCTAGTAAATTAGTTTTGCAGTCTCTGAGACATGACTAAATGCCTTCTTTACTGTCCTCTGACCCTCAAACTTTGATCCCCACCCAGCTGAAGACTTTGCCTCATACTTTATCAAGAAAATAGAAGCAATCAGTCATGAACGCACTTATTTTACATATCTGTACTCACGGATTCTGTCTTTTCTCATATTTCAGGGAAGGATTGTGCCTCTTTGTATGAGAAGCAAAATCCCCTACTTGTGCTTCAGATTCTACTCTTGTCTCTTGAAGAACTTTATTTCTACAACCATCCCTCTCTCTCCTATAGTATTCATTTCTTCCTTTCTGATGAATCAGTTTCACAACATAGACATATACTCTAGAATCTTTTATCTTGAAGTAACCATGCCTTCATCACCTTCCCCCATCATCACCACCATTTAGCTGTTCTCCTTCACTGCAGAACTTGTCAGAAGAGTTGTCTATACTCACTGACTCCATTTCCACACTTCTCATTCTCTCCTCGGCTTATCTGGTTAGGCCTCTTTATCATCTATTCGACTGAAGCTTTTAATTCCCCTCCTCCACCCCCATTCTCGTGTATGGAGACTTCAGGATCCCAATGGATGATCCACTGGGTTTCTCAGTTCTCTGATGACCTCACTTGGAATGAGCCTGTCTTTCATCCCATCTTAGGTACCCACCATCCTTTCTCTCATGTCAATTGCTGTGCCATTTTCAGAATGTCTATTTCAAGGATTCTAACCTCTAACTATGACCTACCTTTCCAGCTCACTCCTCTGTCTCCCTTTTACCACAATTTCAGCTTCAAAAGGACTTCAAATCCATTGATTCTACTAACCTTTTATGTATATCACTATTTCATGTCCTCTGTCTCTCTTACACAAATCTGTTGCCTTACTCACATCTGAACTTGTGAATTCTGTTTTTTCTCATATTTCAGGGAAGAATTGTGCTGCTTTAATGAGAAGCAAAATTCTTCACTTATGTTTTAAACTCTACTTGTCTTACCTTATCTTCTGTGACCCACCAGTGCAATTACTCACAAAATCCTTAACTCCCTTACCTTTCTATCATGCTTCCCTGGTGAAATCTAACTTTTAAAAAACTTTTTTGAGACAGGATTTCACTTTATAGCTCAGGTGGCCTCAGACTCCTCCCCAGCCTTCTCCCATGCTTGGCTAGCTCTTGCTAACACCTAAAAAACATCACAACAAGAGAAAGGCAAACAACTATGTGTGCTTATCATTAAACTTATGACTTTGAACTTCAGGTGGGCTTTCAGTGCTCTTTGGCAATCATACATTTCTCCAGTCATTTTCCAAATGTCCCAGAAATGGTCAGTGTTCTTTCCTCAAATCTCCTGCATCCCTTCTTCACTCTTAGCTGATGACTTCACATTTTTAAAAAATGGAGAATAGAAGAAATCACAAAAGATCTTTATATCTTTTCACCTTGGGATCTACCAACCTACAAACACCTGTACATAGTTTACTTTTTCTCCTTTTAATAGTGGATGAACTGTCCTTGTATTAAAGGTCATTCCCTCGATCTGTATGTTAGATACCATCCCATCTAACTTCTTTAATCCTAAAATTAGCCCTTGCTCATCCTGTTCCCTTCTGGATCATTCCCATTGCCATACAAACATGTGCAATGACTCCTACCTAAAAACAAACAAACACAAACCTTCTCTTAGCTCCATCTACCTCTTGGGTTCCCCTCAGTTTCTCTCCCTTTATTTAAAGGAAAAATTCCTCAACATAGTTGTCTCTAAGTCATTATCTCTACATCCTCTTTTTCAGTTCTCTTGAGAACCACTTAAATTAAGTGTTCGTCCTCTCCACTTAGCTGAAGTTGCTTTTGTTGAGGTGTTCCTGCCTGGCTAAATTCAAAGGTAAATTCTTCATTCTCATTATACTCATTTGACACATTTTCTTCTATTTTAGAAGTCTTTTTACTTGTCTTCTGGGATACCAGTACCTCCATTGTCCTGTTTCATGGATTATTCCTGACTCAGTTTCCTTCGCTGGATTCTCCTCTTCCCAGCCTTTAGGTTGAAGTGATGGATGTATTAGTCCTCTCAGATTCTTCTAGAACTTTCCTTACTCTATGGGTGATATCATTAGTTCCATGGCCTTAAAGTTGATACTACCCAAATTATCTCTACCCTCAACTTCTTCCCTGAACTCCAGTTATCTAACCTAATATGTATGAGGCATGTAATACTTAATGTGTCCAGAAAAAACCTTTAATGTGTCCAAAATCTTGACACCTATTTTTCTTTAACACCCTGCCTCCAAAACGTTAGCAGATCCCAGCTTTGAAGTATATCCTGACTGTAACCCTTTCTTAACATCTAAACCACTGTCATTTTTGCAAGCCACTGTCATCCCCTGCAATGACCTCCAGAAGGGCTCTTGCTTCCACTTTTGCCCTGCAAAGGTCCAATTCATGGTACCTAAGTATAGAGGGCCATAGGAGTTGCTTGGAATGTAAATTACATACAGATCTTACGCTCTCAACTATCTAGAGAGGGTTCTTATCTTTTATACTATGTAATCTAAAATCCTTAGTGGGCCTACAAGGCCATTTGATGTGGCCTCTAAAACTAAGTTGATATCGAACTTGATCTGTCATGACCCTACCACTCTTGCATAGCTTGTGCTCCCTGACTACACAGGCATCCTCTCTTACCTTAGGGTCATTTCACTGCTTTTTCTTCTGTCCAAACCCTCTTCCCTAGTATTTGTCACCTCCTCTACCAAAAAAAAAACACTCTTTGGCCTGCCCATTTTCTTTAAAATTTGTACATAACTGACTTATATATTTCTTTTTTTAGTTGTTTATATCACACTCTCAAAAGGACAGGATTTAACAATTATTGTTGAAGGACAGATCTCTTCATTTGACCTCTGTGTCACCAAATCCAGTTGTTCCTTCTCTGGGGCTGTTAAGAAGATTCAGAGTTGATACCTGTAAGGCGTTTAGAACAGGTTACGTGCATGGTAGGTAGATGTTAGCTGTTTGTGGAAGGTGTTTGAGTATTATCTTATTTGACCTGTTGGCAGCATGTCACACAATTGACTGGACTTCTCCCCTTTTTGAAACACAGATGGCTTCTGTGACACCACAGTCTTCCAGTTTATCACATGCCTTGAGTGGTTGCTCCTTCTCAGGCTCATCAGCTGAGCTCTCTGTCTTCCTGAATTTTAACGAACTCCATCCTGACCTTTTGTCTCTTTATTTATACTTTCTTCTTGTGACTTTAAAAAGCTTTTCTATGCTGTTCCCTCCTATTTTTTAATTGTTTATTTGTTTGTTAATTAATCAAGGCAGGGTCTCACTAGGCATCCAAGTCTGGCCTTGAACTCCAGATCCTCCTGCCTCAGTCTTCCAAAGTGCTAGGACTATAGGTGTTAACTACCACGCTAAATTGTTACATTCCCACTCCTTCTTTCCTGAGTCTGGTACCTGTATACTCAGCAGCCCAGTGGACATCTCCATTTGGATATATCACAGGCATCTCAAATGTAGTATACTTTGTAACAGAAGGTTTGATTTTCCTCCCAACCTGTTCTTCCTTCAGTTTTCTCCATCTAAGAAAACTGGCCAGTTCCTCTGTTGTTCTTCCTGCTTTCTCTTTCCTCACCCTCAAATACAAGGCACCCAGTGAAAGTTCTGTTACTTTCATTGCCAGAACTGTTCCCGAATTTGTTCATTTCACTTGCTAGCACCCTCATTCTGATATGTGTAGATTTCACCTGTATTTCTGCCTTAACTTCCTAGTGATCCTCCCACTTCCACTCCTAACCCCTGTAGTCCTTTTGCTACCCCAGCCTGAGTGGGTATTTTAAAAATCTGAGTAAGATCAGGTCTCTCTTCTGATCCTTCTTGTGGCTGCCCATTGCTCTGAAAAGAAACTCACTTTTTCCAGAAGTCTCTAAAGCTCCCTGGCTCTGGCCTCAGCTCCCCCACTTCCTCCTGCTCCCTCTGCACCACCCTGCCTTCCTTTCTGTGCGCCCTGTTTCAGAGTCTGCGTTTGTGGTTTCCTCACCTGGTGTGCTACTTGTTTTCCCAGGGTCATGGCCAGTTCCTATCATTGGGGTCCCAGCTT